TTTACATAAAAATTGGGAAGTTGTTGCACTTCTCCAGTGGATGCTTTGCTCTGGGTGCGGGTATTTAATGGCAGAGTTGGACACTGCATCATCACACCTTAAAATGCGTAGGCCCTATATATTCATACTGAGCCAACTGATAAATGTGGAGTGTTTACAAATAGCTTGGACAAGTTCTTTTTGAGGCAATGGTTTCCTAGGAGGGTTTTGAGGTTCTAGTTTTTCAAGAAAATTCAGAAGTAATTTAGTCCTTTTTAAATCTAAAATCAAAACTAATATATTGTAGCTTGCCAATCCTTGGATGTGTTGGCTGCATTCGTTTTTTTCTTTTTAGGCTTTTCCTGTTTTCACCAGGTGATCTGGCCAGTAACGCCTACTAGAGTGTGCCCCCACTGTGGATGAAGCAGCAGAGGGTCACCTTTGGACAGTAGCATTGCCAGTCTGCTTATATAGTATTGGGCTTCATGTACATGAGTCTGACTGCCGGCCAGTGAGAAACGCAAAATGTGGTACACAGCACCCGTGGTACCGCACGTTTACCGCAGTTTGCCGTTTCCCTTGGTTGGCGGTCAAAATGTTCCTGTCCTTAACACGATTCTTTCGCGTTTGCGAGAGGTAGATTTAACTTCACCTAAACACAGCAGCTCTAAAAGCTTGTGTACGTGGACACATGGGCTTTTATGGAATTTGAGTTTAGCAGCTTTGGGGAAAAAATGCCAAAAGTGCCTAAATTTGAGTTTAGCAGCTGCTCGTGTACATGAAGCCTTAACTAGAGTCTTAAATTTTTAGATATCAGTTACAGCAAACCCTTGTTTTTATTACTTTTGGGATAAAGGTTTTTGCATAGGCAAGTTGATTATTGTAAGCACCTGTCAGCGGTAAATTCTCCACCCTTTAAATGCTACATCTGCAGAGCAGCTTTGTTTTGAAATGCGCTTATGGCTGGGTCACCTCGTGAAAATAAAAGCCTAAATAATGCAGCCATTGTATCTAAAAAATTTTGTAAGCTGCAATGTTTGGTTTTAATACCGCTTTAAGAATGTCACAACTTGACAAGTGTCATCTCACAATTACAGTAAATAGGTTCTTATTGCTATAGATGGAAGGAATCCTATCATTGTGCCTTGGACAGATTTCAGCCTCATGTAAACTGTGTAGTGTGTATGGATTGCATACAACCAGTTGAGCAGGCTTTCAGTATTTTCTAAACTGGTAAATGGAGTTACTGGGATTTTTCCAACATATGGTTACAAGAACAGATGTAACTGAGGGGGATTATTGGTGTAGAGCTGAACACTGGTTCTAGATGGTTCTAGATCTATACAAAGTGCTGCATACGGCACCTGGAAATTGTAAATGGGCTTTCTTTTAAATACCAGTCTTGGAAAAGCATGATGGAAATTTTTTTTTTTTTTCTTAAAGTCTCTAAATTTTGAGACTAGTAATTGTGCACATTTTTTTCTAACACAAAATAGTAGCTCGGTCAACAGAAGTGACTGTTGGCTCTAAATGGTTCTCTAAAACTCGGTGATTCTTTTCTGGTTCAGAAAGGTATGTTAAATGGAACACTATGCAGCACCAGTCAAAAATTGGCTTTCCCTTAATGCTAGCTTTTCTTGTATATGGAAGTGCATGTTCATTCCTCCAGGAAGCAGAGTTCACCCAACAATGGAGCCTGAACTGTGTGGTGGGATTGGCCTTTACAGAAAATGTCAGCCCCTGTGCAACATTCAAGTGAGCCCATATTTTATCAAATTTGTGGGAATAGGAAGCTTCAATTTTAGCAGTATCGCCCTTCTATTGTACCGTCATATAGAAAATAACTGTAGGTAATGGCAAGCCTTGATGTTGTGCGGATTATCCCAATTTAATTGATCCATTCTGTCAGTCCTTCAACTGTGTTTAGTGTCAGTCATGTCCAGATCTGAAATGGGAGAAACCATAACATGTGTGAAGGTGGATACCTTTGTGTCACACCTATATCCTGTTGCCCCAAAGGATGGGAAATGTGGGGAAACTGGAGTATAATTGGCTTGATGCAAGAACTTGAGCTGTATAAGCCTGTCTCTGCAGCCATCTTGTGCACGATTACTGCCAAAATTCATTCCAGCCCTCCTTGTATCGGGACAGGTAAAACTTTCCACTTCTGGAGACGACACTGCAGTCTAAAGCCAGCCATATGTGGATTGAAATTTGGCTGGTCTAGCAGAGACTGGCTGAGGTTTGTTTACATGGATCAAATCCGTTGATCAAGGTGAAAAACCAGCCTGTCAACATTTGATTACTGCCAGTAGCTGTTGGCAGTAACCATTGTTATCTACCCACTGAGGTGTCCCCTGCCAGCAAAACACTATTGCTGCAGGAGGCATTCCCCCATCAACACTGGGGAATCGAGTGATTTCATCCACCTGTGGTGGAAGGAAAAAAAAAAAAACAAAGCTTAGGCTGGATTGCTTAAGGGTCTTGGTACTAAGAAGTCTGAAGTAGAAAGTGGTTTAATTTCTCAGTAATGAGAATCAAAATTGGGTTAGTTTCTTGGTGTCTTAAATACTTGTGACACCTTCGATTGGATGGGCTCCTTGGTATGATTCCTGACTTCACTGAATAGTCTGAGCGTTTGAATGTTTTTATGATCATGTGTGGTTTTCTTAGTGGGTTGTGTGGGTTTTTTTTTCCTAAAATGTTGAATAGTCTTTCATGGCACAGCAAATCAGATTAACCTTTGTGGATGTTGCTAATCACAATGCTTATAAAAACGCACATCCTTACAGGTAACCTGCCTAAAGTGCTTCTGTTTGGTAGATGTAGGAGCCTAAACTGAACCCTATTCATAACTTTTGGTGAGTCTCTGCCCTCCAAGACATCTGATTTCTTATGTTACCTTAATTCCGATCTGTTTACAGAACAGAAAACCTCTCCTACAGATGCACAGCAACAGTGTCACACAACTGTTTGGCTGTCTGAGGTTTCACTTTGATTTCTCACATTTTCACTGTGACTAAATTGGAAAACTGAAATAAGATGGTTTAACTTTTAAAAGAGAAGTGGGTTTTTTTTTTCCTTCAGCCAACAAACTGATGAGGGGGTGGGCAGGGGGCAACTCGCACATTTTGAGGAATCCTCCAGTTGTGTTGTCGTATTCTGACAATCGGGGATGCAGAATACAAACAGCACTGTATGCTTTAACAGTACTGACCTAAATGGGATTTTCCAGCATGGTGGTTCTACAGTATTGGTGGACTTCTGTGAAACCACAGTGCCCATGCATGGATTGAAATTTGTCTGGTCCTTGTTGAGCCAGCCAAATTTTGTTCCATTTATGGGTAGCTTTGCTCCAGAGTTCGGCTTCAACGTCACTGGTAAGACTAGTGAGCTTTATTGTTGGTGTGGTTAGAGGTCACTGTAAGCTTTGCTTTCTGGCCTGTCAGCTGCCTCCTAGGATATAGGGAGAGCAAGAAAAGCATGCAGCAAAGGTTAATTTGGTTGTATAGGAATGCAATGCCTCTATGTAAGGACAATTCACACAAATGTCAATTATCCAGGCTGCCTTCTTATAATTTCCTCCCATCTCCTGAATGTGCCATGCAAGTGCAGGCAACTGATGGACCAGGAACTATCGTCTTCTGGCCCTCAGCTGAAGTGCCTGGCTCCATTCACATCTAGGTGTTTGTATTGCAGTCAGAATTGCCACAAATCTGCCAGTGATCCCAAAACACTCTGCAAAACTGACAGATCTCACTATGCTTGTTCAGGTGCCATTCCTTTTCAATGGCACCTTAAAAGCAGGTGTGCTTCTGCCACAATGAATCGTGGCAAACCGCATCGCACGGATCTTGTTGCCCAAAAAAACAGCAGGAGCTTCTTTTGGGGAGACAAGGTTCATGCAGTGTGGCGTCCATCCTGATTTTATGGCATTTACCTGCCATTGTAAATAAATGGCCCCTCAACGAACCAATGGCTCCCACTGCTATCTGAGCCAGTGAGGGGAGATTCGCGATGCAACACTCGTGCACAGTGCTGGATTTACATCAGGCTCAGGTAAGTATTTGGGGTGGGGGTGGCAGTGAAGGGGCAGCTGCTTCCCTCCCCCCCCCACACACACACACTGCGCCTGTATCCTAGGTAGCCAATGCCAACAACAGTTTTTTTTTTTTTTTGTGCTGCTCTGTGGAAGAATTCTATCATGAGTTGAGACATATTGTCTTCATGACAATTCAAAACCTGTACTTTGTTTGGAGGGAAATTAAGTATTTTGGGGTGGATAGGCAATGCTACTTTATTAAATTTCTCCCTCCGCTGCTCTAATCTTTCTCCTTGCTCCTGTTTACTGTGACACTTGAAAGCATGACCCCCATTGTGTGGTTTTTAGTAACAAATGGTTTTCAACAGACTTCAGTAAATGTGTAGTACAAAATTGCTGTTAGACTGTTTAAAGGTGTGGTGCACTATTCACATGCCTGATTTTTGGCTGCTTGCGTTTTCGATGTAGCATATCTTCATTCATCATGTCTTTGTTGCATTTCAGGCTCTTTGAAGCACAACAGTGGTTTCTGAACACCGAACCATGGCTACTCAAGGTAAGTTTTGTGATGAACAGAATGGTCTGCAAATGGAACTATACAGCCCATAAATCTTTGTAGAGCAAAGCACCTTGGTGTTTTCACAAAATAGTGGTGGGGCGTCAAGGGATTATATTGTAGAGGTTTTGGAGCTGTGTGCCAGCCCTCTGATGGGTTTGTGTGTGGTTGCATAAGATGAGCTCTGGATTTTGAGGAAAAATTGAACTGGTCTCATTTTACAGCATTTTTAATTTTTTTGCTTTAAGATGGCATTTTTCACGTCTTGCTTATCTAATATAATCTGCCTGTTGGATGTTGCATTTTATGAGCACATGCGTTCTAGCACTTGATAAAATGTTGACCTGTATTCAGATGCAAGTTGGATAATATATCCTTACAATTTTGTGTTTTTTTTTTTTTTTTTTTTTTTTTTTTTTTTTTTTAAGCTGACCTAATGGAACTAGACATGGCAATGGAGCCAGATCGCAAAGCTGCAGTCAGCCACTGGCAGCAACAGTCTTATCTAGATTCTGGCATTCATTCTGGAGCCACAACTACTGCTCCATCTCTGAGTGGCAAAGGAAATCCAGATGATGAAGATGTGGATACATCCCAAGTACTCTATGAATGGGAACAGGGATTTTCACAGCCTTTCACTCAAGATCAAGTGACGGGTAAGCACTCATCTGAGGGGGAGAAAATCGTTTTTATTTGTTTTTACTTCAACATTGATATATTTTTTTTTTTTTTTTTTTTTTCTTCCCTCAATAGATATCGATGGGCAGTTTGCAATGACCAGAGCTCAGAGAGTTCGGGCTGCCATGTTTCCTGAAACCTTAGATGAAGGCATGCAAATTCCATCCACACAGTTTGATTCTGCCCATCCTACAAACGTGCAGCGCCTGGCTGAGCCTTCACAGATGCTTAAACATGCTGTGGTGAACTTGATAAACTACCAAGATGATGCTGAGCTTGCAACCCGTGCTATCCCAGAGCTAACCAAACTACTCAATGATGAGGACCAGGTATTTTACAATTGTACAAAACGTTAATCTATTGCCGCTTTATTACTTTTAGGATGTATGAATCTAGCTAGCATTAAGGATTGATTCTTTTAGCTAACTATTGGAATGGAACATCTGGCTTTTCTAAATTACCTAAAGCAGGCACTGTGACAAAAATGAAACCTTTTTTCCTTTACCCAGGTTGTTGTAAACAAGGCTGCAGTTATGGTTCATCAGCTTTCCAAGAAAGAAGCCTCCCGCCATGCCATCATGCGCTCTCCACAGATGGTGTCTGCAATTGTTCGCACAATGCAAAATACAAATGATGTTGAAACTGCACGCTGTACTGCTGGAACTCTCCACAATCTCTCTCATCATCGTGAGGGCTTGTTGGCCATCTTTAAATCTGGAGGCATTCCAGCTTTGGTCAAAATGCTTGGGTATGTGTACTAGCTGTATGCAGGATTGAATTTTGTCTTTGTGGCGTGATGGATTTTGCCATGAACTTGGTGTAGTCAATATTCAGGAATAAGGAATTTTATATATGACCCAGTTTGACATCTCTGCTTAAACTTAAGGCTGTTTGGATTGTGCTGAAGACACGAGGGATTTTGTTGTACGATTGACACATAATAGATAATGCAGAACCAGTGGGTGATAACAGATCACATCACTGCAAAGTAAGAATCCCTGGACCCACCAGCATATCCTGTTCTCACCAAAGTTTCTTTTGGGGAGGAGTTGTTCCAACATTGGTGGAGGGGGGATGGTGATTTGTAACAGGCTTCTGTGCTTGCTAACAGCCCTTTCATTGTCTGGTAATGGATGGTTTCCTGGAAGTCTAGGGCATGTTACTTGTACTTGCAAGTGGTTGAGATGAAGGCTTGTGCTAACATTGTTTAAAAAAAAAAAAAAAAAAAAATAAAATTCTTGCTACTAGATCTGATGTGTAGTAATATTTACTAATGGGCAGTTCAGATGTGCATTCCCTGTAGTGAAGAAGCTGACTCTTTTTCATGATAAATGGCCACATTTTCTAATGCTGTGCATAACTTGCAGGTCACCGGTAGACTCTGTGCTGTTCTATGCCATCACAACTCTGCACAACTTGCTATTACATCAAGAAGGTGCAAAAATGGCTGTACGTTTGGCTGGTGGTCTTCAGAAAATGGTTGCATTGCTGAACAAAACAAATGTCAAATTTCTAGCAATTACTACAGACTGTCTTCAGATATTGGCTTATGGAAATCAAGAAAGCAAGGTACGTCTATCTATAAATGTTACGAAACTTGGCAATTTGGTGAGTAGCATTAGATGTACAGGTTTAATGTTGTGCAAAGCCAGCCATAGATGTGGGGGTGCTGCCCCCCCCGCCACAGCCAGTGTTGATTGGGAGGGGTAATCCCCTCCTGCAGAGCTAGTGTTCTGCGGCAGAGCTGTCCCCTCTGGGAGAACAGTAAATCGCACATATAAAATCCAGCAGGCTGTTTGGGCCAAGTTGATCATCAACTTGGGTACGTTCAACATGCCCATACATGGTTTTGAATCTCGTCTGGTCCCTGCTGAACTGGCAGATTCGAACAGTCTGTCCAGCTTTAATAGCAGGTGCACACGCACAACTTTTTAACTTGCCAGGGTATATGCCAGCGCATCTGAACTTTTGGTTAAATGTTATACAAGCTTTTGTGAAATTTAGCACAGTGAAGAGAACTGTACTTGATGGTCTCTATTATTTTTTTTTTTTTTTTTTTTTTTTTATTCACTACTTGCATTCAGACTGTCGAGCAAAAGTTGCACTGCCAGGTGTGCTTACAGTGGGGAAAAATTGGTAGGGTTTGTTCCAACCCATTGTTCTGAACCACAATATATTGTGTGGTTTTTAGTTTTGGGTTCCTCCAGTATTGATGAAGAAAGCTGTTGCATAACACTTGTATAATGCAAGGAGTCAGTCTCTGCTTCCATAATGTTGGCATCAGGGCTGTGCTGTTGTAATGGTTATGTCTATTTCCTTTTTAGTCATATTGCTGTTGAATGAAATGGAACTTTAGTTGGTTTCTTTCCCTGCAGTTGATTATCCTTGCAAGTGGAGGACCTCAAGCCTTGGTGACAATAATGCGCACTTACAGTTATGAGAAACTTCTGTGGACCACAAGCCGTGTATTGAAGGTTCTTTCTGTATGCTCCAGCAACAAGCCTGCTATTGTTGAAGCTGGTGAGTGTTTTGGATGCATTTTAATTCTGATCTGGCAAATTTCCTTTTGTGAAGTGCCCTTTTTTTCAAAGCCAATGCATACCCTGTGAACTGTATTTCTTCTGCCCTTCACTACTGTACACAATGCTACCTTTAGTGTAGTCTTGTTTTAACTTGGGATGTGATTATCAAAATTTAACTACTTTGCATATGTCCACCTACTGGTAATGTGTCCGAATGACAATTGAGTTTACAAATTTTGAAAATCTGAATACCATCTTAAGGATCGATTTCAGAATAAGTACTCTGCACCTAAAAGTAACCAGATAGCTCATTGTTTAAAGCAGCTTAAAAATCATTCGCCTCAAAGAACTTGGGGATGTGCTGGAATGTATGTTCATGTGCATGTTCCAATAAAATTGATGTTTTAAAATGTGTATCTCGTGTTTATTGCATTTTGAAATTTCTCCCTCCAGGTGGTATGCAAGCTTTGGGGTTGCACCTCACAGACCCAAGCCAGCGTCTTGTTCAGAATTGCCTCTGGACTCTAAGAAATCTTTCAGATGCTGCAACTAAGCAGGTGTGTTTTTGTGTGGGGGTTGTGATTTTATTTTTTATTTTTTTTCTAAATTTTTTTTCAATGACAAATGTTTGTTTTGGCAGGAGGGAATGGAAGGCCTTCTAGGAACCCTTGTTCAACTTCTTGGATCAGATGATATCAATGTTGTAACGTGTGCAGCTGGTATCCTGTCAAATCTTACATGTAACAATTACAAAAACAAAATGATGGTCTGCCAAGTTGGTGGTATTGAAGCACTGGTCCGCACAGTTCTCCGTGCTGGTGATAGAGAAGATATTACTGAGCCTGCTATATGTGCCCTTCGTCACCTTACCAGCAGGCATCAGGAAGCTGAGATGGCACAAAATGCTGTTCGCCTCCACTATGGACTACCAGTTGTTGTTAAGTTATTACATCCGCCTTCTCACTGGCCATTAATCAAGGTAAAACTAATAGTTTCGGCAAATCCTCCATGTGGGAGTCTGGGTCTGACTTGTACGATCTGTCTTGTCAGTGGTTAATGGTCAGCTGTCCAATAAAGGCTTGTAGACTTGATTTAATGTATTGCCTAAGGCACTGCATATATACATAACCGTTTTTGTGTTTTTCTTCAGGCCACTGTGGGGTTAATACGTAATCTGGCTCTTTGTCCAGCTAATCATGCACCTCTACGGGAGCAAGGTGCAATTCCAAGACTGGTCCAATTGTTGGTTCGTGCACACCAAGACACACAGCGCCGCACATCCATGGGTGGAACACAGCAACAATTTGTGGTATGTGTTGGTGCTTATTCTAATTTGTAATGTCCTGGGACTCGGTTCCATGACTTGATAGCACTTGGGATTTAAAGGCAGTCACTCTCGTTTGTACAGTGGGTAATCTGGTGTTCTGTGCAAATTGGAAGACTAATACACTATCCAGGTTATCTGTGACTGAATAGTCACTTTATGCTAAATGCCATTCGTAACGTAATTTGCGACACACTGCTTCTCTTGCAGTACCTATCACTGATGGTCGTCCAGCCCTGCTTTAAAGGATGAGCCAGTCATAGCATAGTTTCCTTATGTTTCTTGAAATGTTCTCTTTTGGTAGTACACCTAGGCAGTTTTTAAGCTATCAAGAACCTACTACCCTGGCTTTGTTTCCCCACTGCAGTTTCAATGAAATAACTGCACTGACCTTTTGAAGGGTGCTGCAAGGTCAGTCCATTGCCATCCTCTTGTAGATTTGAGCATGTACCTCCAAGGGCTGTCAGAGGTCAGATGTCCAGAACCTCACATTGTATCTGTGCACTGATGCAGGTGCAGCCTTTTCCAGCCTCCTGCTAGGGGATTTTTTTTTTTTTTTTTTTTTCCATAAAGGGGAGACTGCTCTTTAGAAGGGCAAAAAAAGGAAGACCTGTAATGTTTATAAATCAACCACAAAATAACTACTAAAAACTGCGAAATAATATTACAGTAAATTTTCCCAGGTTTAAGCTTTCAGCTTGCACTAGAGCAGAGGTGGGCGAACTGCAGCTCTCCAGCTGTTGTGGAACTAAATTTCCCATGAGGCATTGCAAAGACCAGAAGTTACAAGCATGACTCCTACGCCTTGCAGAGGCATGATGGAACTTGTAGTCCTGCAACAGCTGGAGAGCTGCAGTTTTCCACCCCTGCACTAGAGCATTGTATAATTTCAAACCTCAGTCTCATCCCACCTATTTTATTATGTGGACTTCACAACTTCATTCTTCTCCAACTGAAACGTTACTAATCACTTGGACCAACCGTAAATTTCCTTAGGAGGCTGGCAATATTGTGTATCACAATGGTACAAGTCCTAGTAAAATTAACCTAGTTTAACAGGTTTAGGAATACCTGTATATTTGGAAAAGGCTTTAGGGAATTTGTGGAGGATGTTGTCCAGAGTTGACATTTTTAATAATTTTTTATGTAGCATTAGCAAGGTTTTACTTGGTAATCTATGGCTTTACAGGAAGGGGTGCGTATGGAAGAAATTGTTGAAGGCTGCACAGGAGCCCTACACATCCTTGCACGTGATGTACACAACAGAATTGTGATCAGAGGTCTGAATACCATTCCATTGTTTGTACAGGTAAGGTGAGGCACCGTTGTTGAGATTTTGATGTAGCTTGATTTTTTTAAAGACTAAAGGGTTTCTTTCTCCCCTAGCTGTTGTACTCTCCTATTGAAAACATCCAGAGAGTTGCAGCTGGTGTTCTTTGTGAGCTGGCCCAGGACAAGGAGGCTGCTGAAGCTATTGAAGCTGAAGGAGCTACAGCACCACTTACAGAGCTGCTTCATTCACGAAATGAGGGAGTCGGTAAGTATCTTTTTATTTGGGTGTTGAGCTAATCAACGTGGTAGGTTTACTGTTCAATTTGTGTAGATTCTAGAGAGATAAACCTTTGACACACTACCCAAAAGTTTCCACTGTCCATGCAATCTACTTTTTGGTGTTCAGCCTTTTTTAAACCAAATAAACGTTTTTAGTGGGATCAGATGTGTGCCATAAGAGGCACTAAATAAATACCAGGCAATCTTAAAATGGCAGGTTTTGCCATTATTGGATCCATTTTAACACTGCAGTAACCTCTCTAGAACAACTGTACAATGTAAAATACTTTTATTAAAAAAACTTTATTCCCTTTTTGACAGCAACATATGCAGCAGCTGTTCTGTTCCGTATGTCTGAAGACAAACCTCAGGATTACAAGAAGCGGTTATCTGTTGAACTGACCAGCTCTCTGTTCAGGACTGAGCCTATGCCTTGGAATGAGGTTAGCGCTTTTTTAGCTATTTTGTTAATCTGATCTTGGAGTGTTCATTACTTAATGACTTTGTTCTTTCCCAGGCTGGTGATCTTGGTGTAGATATTTGTGCCCAGGGAGAGCCTCTTGGATACAGACAAGATGGTGAGTTTCACTTTGCAGGAAACTAATCATGATCTTGGCTAGAACTCTGGCATGTGTGGTCCACAGGTGCTCTGGCTTGCAATTCTAGCTTAAATATTTGCTAGATGGGTTCACTGGCCAAGGAGCCTTTGAAGCTGCTAATGTCCTACATTACAAAATTACAAATGTGATTTTTCTGAGTAGGCAGAAATTTTTGCGCTTTTTTTTTTTTCAAGAACATTAACATGCAGGTTTTCATTAAGATTTTCACCTTGTCATGGTGAAAATGTAAATGGGGCTGGAAAGAATCTGGGGCATTCCTCGGAGGGGAATGGAGCATCGTGTGTGTGTGTGTGTGTGTGTGTGTGTGTGTGTGTGTGTGTGTGTGTGTGTTGTTGTGTTTTTCTTTTTACATTTTGTGTAAATTTGAAAGCTGCAGCTTTGAATTGAGGTCCTCTATGCCTTCAGTGTGTTGAGAAATGTATTTATATATATTTTTTTTTTTTTTTTTTTTTTTTTAAGATCCCAGTTACAGATCTTTTCATGCTGGAGGATATGGGCAAGATGCAATGGGAATGGACCCAATGATGGATCATGACATGGGAGGTCATCATCCAGGAGCCGAATACCCAGTTGATGGTTTGCCGGACTTAGGCCATGCTCAGGATCTTATGGATGGACTGCCACCAGGCGACAGCAATCAGTTGGCCTGGTTTGACACGGACTTGTAAATATATATATTTTCGGTGAGTAGTACAGCAAATAAACCTTTTGTATGTACAAGAGGTCTTCAAAATTTTTTTTTTTTTTTACCACTAGCCTACAGGGCACTTATACCCCATTCCTGCCCAGGCCAATTTCCAGCTTTCAGCTCTGTTTTACTTTGACAATTGCGCGGTCATGCAACACTGTACCCATATGAAATTTTTATTTTTTGTGACCACTTTATTTTGGTGGTATTTAATCACCTCCTGGGTTTTTTTATTTTTTTTTTCTTAAACCAAAAACCACAGATTTTTTTCTTAGTTTGTTATAAAATTTTGTAAAGTGATTTTTCTCCGGCACTGATGGGCGGCACCGGCAGGTGGCATGGATGGGCACTGGCAGGTGGTGCTGCTGGGGCTACACAGATCATCAGGGCACACTGATCATCAGTGCTTTGATCTGTGTAGATGTCCCTTCCGAGGAATGCCAATTACCGGCTCTCCTCTCCTTGCGAGCTGTCAGCGTGACAGCTCGTGGGGAGAGAAATGCTGATAACCGGCATTTCCCTTTTTACATGTCATCATCTGTGATTGGATACAGCTGATCACATGACAGAGCCGACATCTTCGTCTATTTCTGTGGATCGGTGATCCGCTGTGTCCGAGGGAATGGGAGGACGTCGTATGACTTTCTCCCAGAATAAGAGAACCACCTTGCATCCGTCATATTACTATATGGTGGGCGGGAGGCGGTTAAAGACCTTTTTTATTGAGAATTTAAGTTTTATTAGCATAACTGGCAACATACAGCTACAGTCAGGCCCATAAATATTGGGACATCGACACAATTCTAACATTTTTGGCTCTATACACCACAAATGGATTTGAAATGAAACGAACAAGACGCACTTTAACTGCAGACTGTCAGCTTTAATTTGAGGGTATTTACATCCAAATCAGGTGAACAGTGTAGGAATTACAACAGTTTGCATATGTGCCTCCCACTTGTTAAGGGACCAGAAGTAACGGGACAGAATAATCAGAAATCAAAATTCACTTTTTAATGCTTGCAAATCCTTTGCAGTCAATTACAGCCTGAAGTCTGGAATGCATAGACCTCACCAGACGCTGGGTTTCATCACTGGTGATGCTCTGCCAGGCCTCTACTGCAACTGTCTTCAGTTCCTGCTTGTTCTTGGGGCATTTTCCCTTCAGTTTTGTCTTCGCCAAGTGAAATGCATGCTCAATCGGATTCAGGTCAGGTGATTGACTTGGCCATTGCATAACATTCCACCACTTTCCCTTTAAACTTTCATTGCTTTTGCAGTATGCTTTGGGTCATTGTCCATCTGCACTGTGAAGCGGCGTCCAATGAGTTGTGAAGCATTTGGCTGAATATGAGCAGATAATATTGCCCAAAACACTTCAGAATTCATCCTGCTGCTTTTGTCAGCAGTCACATCATCAAATACAAGAGAACCAGTTCCATTGGCAGCCATACATGCCCACGCCATGACACTACCACCACCATGCTTCACTGATGAGGTGGTATGCTTAGGATCATGAGCAGTTCCTTTCCTTCTCCATACTCTTCTCTTCCCATCACTCTGGTACAAGTTGATCTTGGTCTCATCTGTCCATAGGATGTTGTTCCAGAACTGTGAAGGCTTTTTTAGATGTCGTTTGGCAAACTCTAATCTGGCCTTCCTGTTTTTGAGGCTCATCCATGGTTTACATCTTGTGGTGAACCCTCTGTATTCACTCTGGTGACGTCTTCTTCTCTTGTTTGTTGATTTTGACACACATACACCTTCCTCCGAGTGTTCTTGATCTGGCCAACTGTTGTGAAGGGTGCTTTCTTCACCAGGGAAAGAATTCTTCGGTCATCCACCACAGTTTTTCCGTGGTCTTCCAGGTCTTTTGGGTCTTGTTGCTGAGCTCTCCGATGCATTCCTTCTTTTTAAGAATGTTCCAAGCAGTTGTTTTGGCCACGCCTAATGTTTTTGCTATCTCTGATGGGTTTTTTTTTGTTTTTTCAGCCTAATAATGGCTTGCTTCACTGATGGTGACAGCTCTTTGGATCTCATTTTGAGAGTTGACAGCAACAGATTCCAAATGCAAATAGCACACTTGAAATGAACTCTGGACCTTTTTATCTGCTCATTGTAATTGGGATAATGAGGGAATAACACACACCTGGCCATGGAAGAGCTGAGAAGCAAATTGTCCCTTTACTTTTGGTCCCTTAACAAGTGGGAGGCACATATGCAAACTGTTGTAATTCCTACACAATTCACCTGATTTGGATGTAAATACCCTCAAATTAAAGCTGACAGTCTGCAGTTAAAGCACATCTTGTTCATTTCATTTCAAATCCATTGTGGTGGTGTATAGAGCCAAATGTTAGAATTGTGTCCTGTTCCAATATTTATTGACCTGACTGTGTGTATAACTTGTGTGTTCTAATGTTCGTTTAAATCAGGGTTGTACAACTTTCCTTCTACATTGGTAGAGGAATTGTCTTGGGCCACACAATATATGAACAATAGCTGATGTGCCCATTTCTGAGTTTCAGGTTTTTTTTTGTAAATTTTTATAAGAGCAACATAAAACCTAGTGATAATTTGACATTTGATAAACTAACCCCATCAATATCTGGTTTGATGGATGTAGTAGCAACTTTCAAGGTGCACTTCAGATTTCTGTTCTAATTTTTGTCTGTTCGTCCCCTTTCGCCTGTTCATCCTTATAGTTGCTCACAAATCTAAAGTGCTGCTGAAAAGTGATAGTGTGATTGGAGAGCAGGTGGTTTTTTTTTTTTTTTTTTTTTTTTTTTTTTTTTTTTTTTTTTGGGAAGGGGGGGGGGGGGGGGTAGTTAAAGTCCAGTAAAGAGTCAAATTTCTTCTGCTGCGATGTGTTTTCAACGTGTAAATGATTTGTTTACAAAATTCAAAAACTTTAAGGTTTGATATTTTGTTGTACTGCATACATAGCAGTCCTGAGCTGCAGGTTTGACACATCTGGTTTAAACTGTGTGGCTCTCAATGTCTCATACTTTGAGTTCATGTTCTGCCAACAGTATGTGATGCAGCTTTGTTTAGTATTGACAATTCACAGCAAAATTAGTCTGGATAATGCAGAATATGCACTGCTCAAAGAAATTAAAGGAACACTTTTTCTAATATATAAATAGATATATATCTATATCTCTCAATATCAGGGTATAGCATCAATTCAAACTCCTGGGATATTGATCTGGTCAGTTAAGTAGCGGGGGGGGGGGGGGGGTGTTAATCAGTTTCAGCTGCTTTTGGTGTTAATATCTTATCTTTTGCATTTGGCTAGGGTCAGTGTCACTACAGGTAGCATGAGGTGATACTTGGACCCTACAGAGGTTGCACAGGCAGTCAAACTCCTCCCAGGATGGCACATAAATACATGCCATTGCCAGGTTTGTGGTGTCTCCCAGCACAGTCAAGAGCATGGAGGAGGTTCCAGGAGAAGGGCGGTTACTAGGAGAGCTGGACAGGGCCGTAGAAGGTCCTTAACCCATCAGCAGGATCGGCATCTGCTCCTGTGTAAGGAGTAACAGGATGAGTACTGACAGAGCCCTACAAAGTGACCTCCAGCAGGCAACTGGTGTGAATATCTGACTAAACTATCAAACAGACTTCATGAGGGTGCCCTGAGGGCCTGACATCCTCTAGTGGGCCCTCTGCTCACTGCCCAGCACCATAGAGCACGATTGGCATTTGCCATTGAACACCAGAATTGGCAGGTCTGCCACTGGCCCACTGTGCTTTTTAGATGAGGGCAAGTTCACACTGAGCACATGACCGACATGACAGGGTCTGGAGAATGTGTTGCTGCCTGTCCAGCATGACTGTTTTCTTGGTGGTGGGTCAGTGATGGTCTGGGGAAGCATATCCACAGACCTCTACAGGTTAGACAATGGCACCCTGACTGCCATTAGGTATCGGGATGAAATCAATTGTCGGAGCCCACGCTGGTGCAGTGGGTCCTGCGTTCCTCCTGGTGCATGACCATGCCCAGTCTCGTGGTAAAAGTATGCAGGCAGTTCCTGGAGGATGAAGAAATTGATACCATTGAATGGCCCCCATGCTCACCTGACCTAAATCAAATGGAATACATCTGTGATATCGTATTTCGGTCCATCTAATGCCACCAGGTTGCACCTCAGACTGTCCAGGAGCCTAAGTGATGCCCCGGTCCCAAATCTGGGAGGAAAACCACAGCACACACTATAGTCTCCTTAGAAGCATGCCCTGACATAGGCAGGCATACAAGCACGTGGAGGCCATACAAACTACTGCGTACCATTTTGAGTTGCTGTAATTAAATTTCAGGGGTGTCTTTTGAATTCAGTCCTCTGTGTTAATCTTCATTTCTATCAAACTATGGGGCTTGCTTGCGTTCCTAACACATTACCCAGTCCGTTTCAGTATTGATATTCAGCATAATTTTCCCCATTTGAGATCTTGTGTTTTCAGAGTGTTCCTTAAATTTTTTTTGAGCAGTGTACAAGGAAGGTAGTGTGGTTTTTGGCTGCGTAAACCCTGAATGGATGCATTTCTCTCTTATGGTCATAGCTTTACTGCTAGAGATAGGGGTCAATTCACGCAATTTATTTGCATGTGATATGAAGGTCACATAACCTATGTTTTCAGAAATGATGTACAAGCTAATCAGTTGATCCAAAGTAAAATATTAAATGTAATACTGTAAAACGTGGGATATATAATTAGTCGATTCACTAACCAACACTCAGGCAGTTGGTATTTAAGCAAAGTACAAACTAAGAATGAAAGGAACTCTGCACTGGCCAGTAAATAGTATACAATGCATCGGTGTAGAAATGTTCTGCCCGGAGGTATAGATCGTTCTGTGAAAGACAATGGCATGTCTTCAATTTCAGCTTTGTGTTAATTTATTTCTTCCTCTAATATAGTGTTGGCGTGTGTGGTTAAAAAAAAAAGAGAAAACCGCTAAAATTTAAGTGACATATT